AATTTCTTGGTTGAACATTTTTGTTTTTGGAGGAAAAATTTAAAGATAAGCTGTCACAACTTGTACTTTAAATTCAAAGGTTAAAAAGATGTCACATCTAATTAACCATTCCTCCAATAAAATTTTTAATACAATAATTTCAAATATTTACATTAAATATTGTAACACTATATTTGATCACATTTTGAATTTAAATAAGGACTAATGACAGATATAAAAATAAAAAAAATAAAAAGAAGTGAGTTTAATATACTCACAATTCTTCGCTACAGTAGCGGTAACTCGCTGGTCTCTTCCTCTGGGTTCCCCCAGGTCCAAGGTAGAGATGTGTGTGTGGGTGGTGTCTTTGGGAAGGGGAAGGTCTGCTATTTATAGACTTTCAGGAGGGACCGGAACGGCCCGTTCTGAATCCGGAACGGCCCGTTCCGGGGTTGCAATTTTACTCACAACGGCCATTTTTGGAACGGGCTGTTCCAATTTTGGAACAGCCCGTTCTGGACTAAAATTTTTAGGTATTTTGGTAGTTCGAGAACGGCCCATTCTGGGCTAAAAATTACAGGTCCTTTTTTAAGGTTGGAACGGCCCGTTCCAGTTTCTGGGAACAGCCCGTTCTGGGCTAGAATTTATAAGTCTTTTTGGATGGTTGGAACGGCCCGTTCCAGTTTTGGAACAGGCCGTTCCGGACTAAAATTTTCAGGGCTTTTTGTAAGGTTGGAACGACCATTCCAGTTTTGGAACGGCTGTTCTGGGCTAGAAATTTTAAGGTTTTTTGGAAGGTTGGAACGGCCCGTTCTGGGCTAGAAATTTTAGGGCTTTTTGCAATGTTGGAACGGCCCGTTCTGGGCTTGAAATTTTATGTCTTTTTGAAAGGTTGGAACGGCCCGTTCTGGACTTCTGAAATCATATGAAAATTACTAAATTACCCCCCATAAAAATATAAAAAATGAGGCGTTACAATTGGCTTCCATATTTTTGTCTTTTTTATTCTTTCTTGTATATACCTTTTTTTCTATTTTTTTTAAACAAAATTAACATTTCCCGGACGAAATTGGGTTACTACAACACACAAAAGAATCTTTATTACTAACAGATATGGGAACATTACAAATTTTCATGACATCTTTTACTGTTTTCTTAGAAGCATGAGTTAGTCTATTGTGCCATACATCATATAGATTCCTAGTCTTTTGTACATTGAGAACAGTAGGTACATGTGTAGCAGTATGCTTATAAGCATCAGGATGCAGAATTTGTACTTCATCAAAGACATACAGGCCATTTTTAAGGTTCCCTTGTAGAAGAGTTTCCTTCGAATCCTGTGATTTAACAAGGCAATGATTGGTGTGGAATTCAACATATACCCTATTCAACATATACCTTATTATCCTGTTTAACATCTGATATATTGATTCTAAAACTGAATAGAGATACAAAGCAAGAGTTTCTATATATAATAGGAGAAGGCAATTAAACTGACATAAGAATAACAGTTGTATTGCCACCTCATTCATATTGAGCTAACAGACTATATCTATTACAAGAGACTGCTGACTTGATATCCTTTTTACAGGAAAATTAAATTTTTTTTAATGGTCCCTTTTCAACCATTTGTTGACTTTTATGTATTACCGGAAAAAAATTACTAAGATACACAAGTCAAAAACTCACTAATTTAAACTTCCATATACAACTCGAGAAAATACAGGATAGACTGAATTTAAGAATGCATTAGATATTTCAAAATGCATAACTATTAAGAAATATCAAAGAAGACATAGCATGCAGTTAGGAAACTTGCAACGTGAACATGAAACTAATAAGAAGACATGATATTATTAAAACAAGACAAAATCTTGAACATTATCATAAATTGTTAAACTCGCGATGCTTTGAGATTATCAAAGCTTAAACCAGTGTTTTTCTTTCTTTCTTTTTTTCTTTTTTTTTTGAGAAAACATATGTGGTACAACAAGTGGAATGAGACGAGACTCTAAATGTTTTGTTCTTGATTCATATGTAAAACTTGTAACATCTTTTTTGGCTGATTATGCTTAGCCGAAATCGAATTATGAACACCTTTAAGATTTGCTTCAAAAGTCTCTTTTTTTCTTATCTCCAACAACATGCTCTATATCACATAATAAAATAGTGGCCGTTAGCTTATTGCCACTAAATAAATGTCCTTAAATGTAATTTTTTGTTGTAGTGATTATAGTGAAAAAAGAAAATCACTTGTGAGAGAAAAGCAAAGAAGCAACTAAGACGACTTTTTGTTTTGATGGAGCTAGACATTTTTTCTTTGATGAATTGATGGTGCTAAACATGAAGGGTGGATGATATTTGACTCGCATCTCTGACCTAAGGTAGGCACCAAGACTACCCTTGAGATAAAGCTTCCATAATGCTAATGCTACTACTTTCTTAAAAGGGAGAAAATAAACCTTAGTAAGAGACAAGGAATATACAATCAAATCAATCATTTTCTGTAACTTCTTTGGCACATAAGCCTCCTAAAAAAGGTAGCATGTGAAGATGAAACAATTTTTTTTTTCAAGCAAGAAAGAATAACGCTTTGCGTATTATAGCTTCCGGATTACATGTTATGATTCCCGATATTTAAAATTAAATGTTTGAATAATAACATTATTCTAGCAATAGTGTGTTTGGAAAAGAGTTACATTTAACTTAACTCATGTTGGAATCAAAGCAATTGTCTTATTTTATTTTATTTTATTTTTTTGCATTTTATCTGTCAGAAACTGCAAACTTCCATTTTAAAGAGTTGAAATGGTAAATTAAACATGTTTTAAGTTGTTAATTTAAGTAGAACTAAATCTAGTTATTTTAAATAAGATTTCAAATTTGAGTGTTGTAGATTAAAAAAAAGTGATTAGATGAAAAGACCTCCACTAATAGTAATCAATTAGATTTTCTACTAAAAATTAGTGATCAACAAAACTATCATATATTTCACATAAATAATATTATTGAAAAGATATTATACTAACAAAATGTATATATTAAAAAGAAATGACATGAACAAGGAAGTTATCCAGTAATTTTTGTCACTCTTCGTGAGAATCTCAAACTCTTCAACATCTAAAGTGGACTCGAAAGTCGTGAAGTTATTATTTCAATTAATTATGTAAAATTAGTTTTTCAATAAATTAAAATGTTCAACGTTGTGTAACAAAATATGTCAAGTTAAATATATTAAAAATGTACTAGTAAGCACCCTTTCGGTCATGCAATAGGCCGAAAGGGCGCCTAAACTAATGAAACGCACCAATTGGCACCCCATCGGTCGGACAATAGGCCGAAAGGGGGGACCCGAACCAAGGAGCCACACCAACTGCCCCCTCAGGTCAGGAAATAGGCCGAAAGGAATGCCCTGGCCGAACACCCCTTCGGCCCCAAGCTTGGCCGAACACTCCCTCGGTCTCGTGAGTAGCCAAAACCCCAGAGAAGGGATCTGAAGCTATTCAAAACACCCCTTCGGCCCCAAGCTTGGTCGAACACCCCTTCGGCCCCAAGCTTGGCCGAACACTCCCTCGGTCTCGTGAGTAGCCAAAACCCCAAAGA